AACACCCGTTGGAATGGAGGCGACCGCCTACAACAAAAGCATGGACAACACACAAACTTGTGCCCCTCGCTCTCTCGACCCGCAACCCAATTCACTCACGGTGGCGAGATGGGCCGAAGGCCATTCGAGACACGCAGCTCGGAGAGCACAGCAAACTGGATGGTGGAAACGCGGTTATGAAACGGCGGAGTGGGGCAGGCGAGCGGGGATATGGGGCGTCAGAGGCAATACGAGCGATAAGGGAACCGCGGAAGGCAAAACGCAATGGCATTCTGAGGTGGGATTTACGCTCACGGACACGAGGAAGCCACACGTGGGGCAGATTGTGGATGGAAGAGGTGCCGGAGACATATAGAGATGGGACGTACACATGTTGGGGTATTCAGTGAGCGCGGCGAGCCTATGCATGTATATAAGTATACACGCTAGATTCACGTGCGAGCTTAGGTGCAGCGATGGGCTGGTCAATGTCACTACTCAGTGGATGTCTTAACGGGAATATGAGATTGACACTGACTCAAACCGATGCAAGCATTTTCGCATTGACGAGCATTGCGATTACGTGGCGAGCTTCGGTTCGGTGCTGCAGAAAACACATTCTTCCATCCACACGCCCAAAAGATCGTACACCTGTACAGTCAGGATTGCCAGCGCGGACCCCACTTGGCACAAGCTATGTGGTGTTAGCTATGTGGATGTGGTGTAAACTACGTTGTGAAAGCTACGTGGCCTAAGCTGTTTGGCGCAATCTACGTGGTTATGCGGTGTAAGCTATGTGGTGCAAGCTATGTCAGAGTCGCCAAGCATTCAATGGGCACTATGTGCAAACACCACTCATACCATGCGCATCCCCTTGCAAGATACCCCTTCTCGGGGGAATCGTGAAGGAGCTTCCTGGCTTCCTCCAGCCATGCTCGGAATGTCTGGAGCCTGATTGACACATGTTGGAGGGTCCGTCTTGGGGGCTCTTGAAACCGTCTTCAGGCCCTCTTGTGCCACTTGGTGCCACTCTTGGCCATCTTGGGGGTCTCTGAGGCGGCGGAGGTACTGGCTTGGACCCGTATTGGGCCGTCTCGGCACTGTCGTACCCTGTCGAACGCCTGAGTGTTCTGATGGGCCATCTTGGGCTTCTCTTGGGCCGGCGTGAGCCCCCCTTTGGGCTTTCTTTTGGGCCATTTTGGGCACTATTGCACCGCATTGGGGGTCTCCTGGTCTGTCGTGGGAAACAGCAGTGGCGGAAAGATACATACATGAAAAGGAGCCAGTGGGAAATCAGCGATTGTTGTATCCTGGGGGCCTCTGATGGGTCCTCTTTTTGGGCGCTGGGCCTGTCTGGGGGGCCATTCGGCCGTCTTGGGCCGTCTTGGGCGTGTTCGAGCTGCATTAGGGCATTGTCGGGCTTCTCGAGTAGCCTCGTCCTGCCCCACGGAGTTGTTTTGAGTGGCGGGGGGGAGGCCTCAGGGGGGTTCCATATGTGCGGCGCCGCTAGGGAGAGGGGGGAAATCTGGGAGCGTCCTTGCCTGGGGCGCAGGACCCCGCTACGCTAGCACATATATTTATATATATGTATATATATATATATATATATATATATATATTTAAACATGTTGTATCTCCCTCTATAAGTATGTTTATGAATATGTCTGTCTGTCTGTAGATATACATGTATATATGTACGTACGTATGTATGCATATGAGTATACATGAGTTTTTGTAATTGAATGCACGTACATATGTAAGTATGAATGTATGCATGTATATGGCTACGCATACATACATATACATATATACATGAATATATATACATGCATGCATGTACGTAGGCATGTGTAAGTCCATGTCTATATACATGAATATCGGTATGAATGTAGGTATGCATGTGCGGATGACGGTACACATGTAAGTATATGCGTGCACGCATGTATGTATGTATGTGTGTATGTAGGTATGTCTGCATATGTATTTTTGCATGTGCGTGTATATGTATATGTGTATGTGTTTCGTGTACGTGCGCGTATACGTATGTGTGTGTATATATATATATTCACATACGTGCATGCCGTATTTAGGTATGCCTATATGCTTGCATGCATGTTTGTATGCATGCATGTATGCAAGTACGTACGTGTGTACGTATGCATGTATGCAGGTAGGTATGGATGTATGGTTTGATGTATGCATCTGTGTATAGGTGTACGTGTTTATGTATCAATGTATGTATACACATGTGCAGGTTTTCACACATGCATACAGACGTATATACACATACACACGTTTTTTTTTTTTTTTTTTTTTTTTTTTTTTTTTTTTTTTTTTTTTTTTTTTTTTTTTTTTTTTTTTTTTTTTTTTTTTTTTTTTTTTTTTTAAAAAAAAAAAAAGTAATATATATATAAAAATAAAAAAAAACAAAAAAAACATGTGATTATTTGAGCATGAATGTATGCACACATACCTCAAGTCTACTTCAGTAATACTTATGGACCACATCCTGCTTTCCCTCCTCGAATCCGCTGTGGCATGTACCGTGCTTTACGGGGCGTGGCCCCTGGCTTCTGTCGCCGCGCGACCCGTTGGGTCTCAAGCGGTCCGCGCCGTCGGAGAACCCCAGAGAGGTCCGCACGGATGACACGCCGTGGAAGGTTTCCTGTGGATGCCGAGGAGGGTGCTCTGCCTGATGCCCGCGCCACCGTCGCCGAGAGGGTGCTTTCTGTGGATGCCGAGAGGGTGTTTTCTGTGGAGGTTTTCTGTGGATGCCCGCGCCACCGTCGCCGTCGCCGTCGTGGCAGCTCGGACCTGCCCTGATCGGCTCCCTCGCGCTGCCTCTCCTCCGGCCGTCGGCCCCGTCGCGCCTCGCGGGCGGCGCACGCCTCCACCGCGCCGCCTGCTCCCGCTTCCCTCCCCCGCCCGGGCGCCACGGGGGCGGCCTGCGGCGGCCTCGGGGGCGGCCTCGAGGCGGCCTTCGGCGGCACCACGGCCGCCTCGAGGCGGCCTCGAGGCGGCCGAGCGGGGCCGCGCCCAGCGTGAGGTCGGGCCTGTCCCCCTACAGGGGGATTTTGGACGGAAAATAAGAGATACCCCAAACATGCTCAAAGGATGCCCGAACATGCTCAAAACATAGTCCCCAGACGACCTTTTGACTATTTTTGAATTTCCCCCCTGTAGAGGGACAGGCCCGACTTCAGCCTAGCGCCGACGGCGCGCGGGGCCCGCGCTCGCCGCCCGGGGGCGGGCGGCTGGCGCGCCGGGCGCGCGCGGGGCGGAGGTGCAGAGCGCGGTGGCCAGACGTGGGGAGGGCGCGAGGAGGCCTCGGGCGTCTGGGCTCTGAGTTGGGCATCTCGGGCTGGGCGAAAGGGGGGGATAGCAAAGGGGGTGGGGTGAGAATCAGCTCGCGCAGCTGCTTTTCCCAGCGCCTCCCGGCGCCGGGATGCGCCCATGTATCGAGGAATGGGCCCCTCGGTGGGGCCGAAACAGCTGCATGCAGCAGATTTCGTAACCCCCCCTTTCCCTATCCCCCCCGTTCGTCCGGCCCGAGCATCGGGAGCGGCCGGGAGAGTCACGACAGCAAGCAGCGCAAGGTGTCCCTGCGTGAGCGCCTCGCCCTCGCTTTGGGAGGTGGGGAATTTGAAGGGGCCCTAGGACACACAAATGAATATACACAAATTACAAGATTTCCCATATTATCGCAGATTTTCGGTGTTTTTGTCTTCCCCCCCATCTCCCATATTTTTCCAGATTTTCTGGGAATCGACGATTCACTGTGTCTGTGTGTGTTTTCCCCCCTCCTTAGGATGGCAGGTCCGGGGCCGAACGCTGGCGGTGCGCAGGAGGGGGCGGGGCGTCGAGGCTCGGAGGCCGACGGCCGAGGAAGGGGCTCTCCTGGCCGCGGGGCGCAGCTCGAAGGCCCTGTCGAGATGGACGCTGGGAGGGTCTCGAGGACGGGCTTCGAACAGCTTTGCACGATGGCCGCGAACCGAACCGAGAACCGAGAACTGGGTCTGGAACCGAACCGGCCGAACCGAACCGGCCGGCCAAGCCGAACCGGCCGAACCGAACCGGCCCGCTGTGCGAACCGAGCCGGCCGAACCGAACCGGCGGAAACCGAACCGGCCGAACCGAACGGGCCAACCAAGCGGAACCGAACCAGCCGAACCGGACTGGACCGGCGGAACCGAACCGGCCGAGCCAGAGTGCAAGTCAGGACCCCAGGACCCGCTCGAACTTCTGCTCCCGACCAAATCATTTGGTCGGGAGCAGAAGTAGGGGGGGGGGGAGGCCTTCGGAAATCCGAAGGCAGGGGGGGGCCCTCTGGCTGGGCCCTCCCCCCTTCTCTTGCAAGGGGGGGCTCCCGTAGAAGGCGGGATGGCCTCTCCGAGGGGCGCCTCCCTGGAAGGCCGCCCCATCAGCTCCTGGCCGCGCCCCAGCCCCCTCTGCGAGTCCGCCCGCCACCTCCGTCCAGCCGGGGCGGTGGGGCCCTGCAGGGAAGCCTTGCGGCGCAGGCGTGCTTCTGTACAGCAGGGGGCCCGGCGATGAGAGCCGCCCGCTCCCCACCATCTGATGGGAGGGGGGGCTCCACCATGCTAGAAGAGGCCGGCGAGAAAGAGAGGGGGGAGGAGACGGGGAGAACGAAGCAACATGCCTGATCTTGCCGTCGCTCGGACGCCCACCCCCGTGCATTTTTCAGTTTCGTGTTTTTTTGAATATACCCTCTTCATTTTCTGCTTCTTCTTCTTCTTCTTCTTCTTATTCTTCTTGCTAATCTTTATTTTTTATCGTTTCCATATGTTCCTCTCTTTTTTCATAACATGTGTATTTCTAGTACATCGAACTCCAGAAACTCAAACTCACGATACATATACATATATATATATATATAGATTCATGTATATAAGTATATATACATACATATATATATATATATGTATATATGCATATATGTATATATACAGATCTTCATTTGGCCTGATGATCCAAGATGCTCGCCAAGAAAAAAATGTTTACGTCCGAGCGATGCCAGGTGATGCGGCCGAGCGGCGGCTGGCACGTGCAGCGCAAAAAAGTGTGCGGCGTGGCAGGCAGGGTGCGCAGGCTGCAAGACGTCTGCCCCTGAAGCTAGGTCGGAATCGGGCGTGTCCCTCTGCAGGAGCAAGGGAGGACTGTTCGAAAACGGTCCCGCGCAGCCTGGGGAGGACTTCTTTTCAAAACTACGGCTACACTTGTTTTTCTGGCTATTCTCATTTCTTCCCAACTCCGCCTGCCGGAGGACCTGCCCGACCTGAAGCTAGGTCATGGGCCGCTCGGCTCCGCCGAGGCGGCCCGAGGGATGAGGGGGAGGAGGGGGAGGAGAGGGAGGAGGAGAAGGAGCAGGAGGAGGAGGAGGTGGAGGAGGAGGAGGAGGAGGAGGAGGAGGAGGAGGGGGAGGAGGAGGAGGAGGAGGGAGGAGGAGGAGGGAGGAGGAGGAGGAGGGAGAGGAGGAGGAGGAGGAAGGAGGAGGAGGAGGAGCAGGAGCGGCGGGAGGAAGCCCGGGGGCACGCGTGGCGCGAGGCGCACCTGTCGGTCGCCTCGCGCCACTCCCTGGACCGAAGGACGGCTTTGCGGCCCAGACAACGACGGGTGACCTCCAGAGAGAGATGGTTGTTGGAGAGGGGGAGGAGGATGAGGAGGGAGGCAGGAGGAGAGGAGGAGGAGGAGGGAGGAGGAGGAGGAGGAGCAGGAGGAGGGGGGAGGCGGCGGAGCAGTGGAAGAGGGGGAGGAGGAGAAGGAGGAGGAGAGGAGGATGAGAGGAGGAGGAGGAGGAGGAGGAGGAGGGTAGGAGAGGAGGAGGAGGAGGAGGAGGAGGAGGAAGGAGGAGGAGGAGGAGGAGGAGGAGGCAGAGGAGGGGGAGGAGGAGGAGCAGAAGAGGGGAGGAGGAGGGGGAGGAGGGGAGGAGGAGGAGGAGGAGGAGGAGGAGGAGGAGGAGGAGGAGGAGGAGGAGGAGGAGGAGGAGGAGGTCGGGCGCCTCCTGGCTTCGCCAGGACGGCCCGAGCGGACAGGCTGACTCCGCCGCAGATGGAGCTCTGGTTGAAGCGGGAGAGCCATGATGTCGGCGGCCATGGGCCGCGCGCGCCGCCTCTGGCGGGCGTGCCGAAAAATGCCTCTGGCGGCCCAGAGGGCAACGGTGCCCTCCGAGAGACTTCTGGCGATCTGGCCACGCGGCTGGCGGCAGTCTCCCGCCATGCGCTGGCCGAGTGGCCGGTCGCTCGTTGCCACGTGGGCCTCCTGGGCGACTGCGCACCCGCTGCCGACGGCGGCCTTGAAGGCAACCAGGGTCGAACTATCATTACCGGACCTCCGACGTCGTGAGTGTCTCAAGACGGCTTCCCTGGAGGCCTGGACCTTCCCCCCGGGGCCGGCTCTTCATCCTGAGTCGTCTTTTGACGGTCCTGGGGCCCAGCGAGGCCCCCCCAGAGGCCGAACACTTCGAGACGCCTCCGTCTCGAGCTCCTCGAGCCGCTGGAGGTCTGGGTGCAGCCGTGCCGGCGCCCCGCGAGAGGAGGCCTGCGGTGCCCCCGTCGCGGTTGTGCAGGGGCGTCGGCCGCAGCCGTGGCGGAGGAGCCACCCCGCCCTCCCCGAGGGCGAGCGTGCGCTCCCGAGGCCGACGGCAGCCTCGCGCTTGGGCGCGAACCGGCGGGGGGCGATGGCTCCAGACTTCCGCCAACGTCTCGAGGCACTCAGAGGCGGAGGGCCGTCGTAGTCTTCGGGGACCGGGGGGCCTCGGCGGGCCCCGGGGGGCCGTCGGAGGAGCGACTCGGGAGGACGAGCTGGCCCCGGGGGGGAGGTCCAGGGCTCCAGGGAGGCCGCCTCGAGCAGCTCACGACGTCGGATGTCTTGGAAAGAGAGGTGCCTTCTCCGGGCCCTCAAGGCGCCCCTCGGGCCCTTGAGGAGCCCTCGAGGGCTCCTCTTCGGCAGCCCTCGCTGCCACCCCATGTATCGCCCCCCCCCCTGCGCGCCCTGCTTCGCTACCGCCGGGCGCCGGGTATGTCTTGCGCCCACATGAACTGGAAGCCACCTCGCGAGCGCTGCCAGGAGTGGCCCCGGTCCGAGGCGGCCCCAGCTCTTCAGGGGAGACCCCGGCGGCCTCCAGAGCACCCCTCACGAGGCCGAGAGGAGCCCCGGAGGGGGGCCCCAGCGCGGAGCGAAAAGCTGGGGGGGCACCTTGGGCCGGGATCACCTCTGGCAGCCCCCGAGCCTCGCGGGTTCAAGTTTGCCACCATGCCCCGGTTCCTCTTCCACCGAAAGTCCGGGGAGGTGGCTCCCAGCGCCTCCATCCTCGACGCCTCGATGCTCGGCATGGCCTCCGGCGCGTCGGGGGCGTCGGGCGCGCCTGGGGCCGTGCCCGCGCCGACAGGGCTCTGCCTCGCTGCCAGCTTCGTCAGCGACGTCTTCCTGCGAGTGCACGGTTTCCCCAGGGGCCGTAGGCGACCCGAGGAGGAGGAGGAGGAGGAGGAGGAGGAGGAGGAGGAGGAGGAGGCGGGAGGAGGAGGAGGAGGAGGAGGAGGAGGGGATGACGGATGAGGATGAGGATAGGATGGGATGAGGTTGAGGAGATGATGATGATGATGATGAGGAGAGGAGGAGGAGGAGGAGAGGAGGAGTGAGTAGGAGTAGGAGTCAAGCTAGCCAGCTCGAGTGAGTCAAGCATGGCATGCCCAGTCCCACCCGCCCTCCCACAACATAAGAAGCAAAGCTGGCACAACTGGGGGCCGAAGTCACACCGGCCAGCCGGTTTGGTACAGCTGATGCGGCCGCGATGGCGGTTGCCGACGGGAACTGGCGAGCGCGTGTTGAATGCCGCGCACGCATTGCCAGACGAGTCGAGAATGGCCCGGTACACCGCAGGAAGCCAGAGGTGGCCGGAGGAAGCCCGACGGTCTGACAGGACACCCCAAAGCATTTTTGTGAAAAAGCATGGGGTTTTTGATGTTTTTATGTTGAAATGCTTGCAAACACACGGTGTTCGGTAGGATTCTGACATGAACGCGCGAGTGTGCTCTTTGTGGTATTTTTTGCACAGGATTCGCGGCCTGGGTGCATGACAGAGCATCGCGAGTGCACCGCGCGATGACGTGAAATCGCTGGATTTGACCGAATTCTTAAAGATTCCTATGGTTTTCCTATGATTTCAGCAAGAGAGCCCGGGCGGGAAAATTGAACAAGTTTTGTGGAAAAAACATTGGGTTTTTGATGTTTTTATGTTGAAATGCTTGCAAACACACGGTGTTCGGTAGGATTCTGACATGAACGCGCGCGTGTGCTCTTTGTGGTATTTTTTGCAACGGATTATCGCCGTGGACGACAGGACGTCCATGTCGAGAGGAAAAAATAAGAAACATATTGATTTTGTATTGTTTTTTACAGGTTAGGATGGGACCACCCGGACGCGCCCGCTATCTGCCGGCCTGAGGGGGGAGTAGGAGTATATCTAATAAGGAATAAGCTAATAAGGATAAGGATAGGAGTCGGAGGAGGAGGGGAGGAGGAGGAGGAGGAGGAGGAGGACGGAGGAGGAGGAGGAGGAGTGGAGGAGGAGGAGGAGGAGAGGAGGAGGAGGAGGAGAAGGAGGAGGAGGAGGAGGAGGACGGGCCGCCTGAGCCCCTCGGAGAAACAAATACACCTGCGAGGAGGGAAGCTGCACAGCGCTGCGGTGCCCATCGCCGGCCCCTGAGCCTGGCCAGGGGCCGACGCGTGCCGAGCAGGTGCTCGGCCAGACTGGGCCCGCGGATGCCCAGCGGTGGCCAGCAGCTTCCCTCTCCCGAGGCCCTCTGCAGGGTCGAAGGTCGAAGGAGGGGAGGTCCTCTCCTCCTGCGAGGTCCTCCTCCTCCTCCTCCTCCTCCTCTTCCTCCTCCTCCTCCTCCTCCTCCTCCTCCTCCTCCTCCCGAAGTCCTCTGCCAGCAGTTTCCCTCTCCCGAGGTCCTCTGCAGGGTCGAAGGGTGCGACTGGTCCCCCTCCCAGAAGCTCAGCCGGGTCACCTGGGCGACGAACACACGAACGGGCCTTGCGTGAGATGGCGTGGCGGCCGTGCGCGGTGGCTTACGCGGGCCGCCAGCACGGCACGCTGCATTGGAAACGAGAGCGCTTACTTGCGACCGCACGGAGGCAACTTACGGTCGAGTGCCCGCGAGTACACCGTCAACGCCGCGCTTTCCTGTGGCTTTGCTGTGTTCCTGCTCGCAACGCACACCGCCAAAGGCGGCGGAGAGCTTGAGAGACCCCATCCGAAAAAAGTGCGCGGTCGTACGGCAGCAGCTTACGGTCGTCTGTCCGCGCAACCGACCCCATTTTCTTCCGTCGCCCACCTTTGGCGGCGCGCACAAGGGGGTGGAGGGAGGGGGGAGGGCTTCTTAGAGGGAGGCTGCATCTTGGAGGGCGCCGGCCCTACATCTGTAGATGAGGCCCGCGCCTTCTGAGGAGCAGGCGTGCTTCTACGAAGCCCTCCGACTACCTACCAGACCACCCCAACCCAACCCGAAGACCCGAATTTCGGGTTGGGTTGGGGTGGTTTGGTGGGTGGTGACCCTCCCCCCTCCCCTCACCCCCCTCCTGCGCCGTCCTCCTCCTGAAATCGCCCCAGGATGGAGTCGAAGTCCTGCGGCGCGGCGCGGGGAACCCCGCCGCTCGCCGCGGCGCCCACCATCACCCCCCCTGGCTGCCCCTCCAGAAGGAGGAGGAGGAGGAGAACTGAGGAGGAGGGGGAGGAGGGGGAGGAGGAGGAGGAGGAGGAGGAGGAAGAGGGTGGCTGATCACCTGGGGCGACTGGTGCGCCTGCGACGGGTTCAGGCCCCGCGTGCCGCGGGCCGGCTTCGGGGAGAGGCTGCCGTCCGTGGGGGGCACCCACTGGTTTGGCTTCACGGTGTACGAGCCTCGGCGGCGCGAAGAAAGTCTGAGCAGTTTCTCGGGGTGGAGGGCCCAGGGTGAAATCCAGATGGGATTTTGCACCTCGAAGATCAATCCGTCTTCTGCTGCACCTTTTGCAGATCCAAGCCTCGAAAATCCATCGAGACGGCATTTCAGAGCTTAGCCTTGGCCCTCCACCCAAGGAAGATGAGCGTTCGACCATGAACCCAATGCTGCCCATCCGCCTTCGAAGGCAACGGGCGTTTTTTCGACAGCAGTCGGCAGGCCTTCGGTGCTCCTCGGCGGCATTTGGAGCCATTCGCTGGTCCGTGGCGGTCTTCCGCTCGACGGCGCTGGAGGGCCGAGTTCAAGACGGGGCCCACGACTTAGCACCGAGATCGACGCGGCGAACGAACGAACCGCCACGTGGGACAGCTGTCCGGGCCTGCTAAGACCAGGTGGGTGAGGCCATGGCCTCCTGCAGACATGCAGACAGGCATCGGAAGTACGAGACATACAACAAGTTGGGCATCTGCGCAGCACCGCATCGACGGGGGCAGGGCGTCGAGGCATCGAGGGCCGAGAGCAGGCTGCGTGCACGTCCCTGGCCCCCCCCCCCCCTTTTGGGCCTGCCTGGGGGCATGGCCTCGTGGCCACGGCCAGGCGCCGCTCGAAAGGACGGGCCCGAATGCGCCCCAGGAAGGGTCCATGGGTCTCGTTTTTTAAACTCTGTTTTTTGTTGTTGTTGTGGTTGTTGTTGTTGTTGTTGTTGTTGTTGTTGTTGTTTGTCTTTTGTTTATATATATATATATACACAGTATAGTTGTGTGTTTCTTTATTAGTTGTGTGTGTGTGTGTTTTCTCCAGGCCAAAGAACAAATCACAGGATTCGGCGTTTTCGGAATTCTGACGTTGAATGGTAAAGGCGGTCCGCCAAGCGGCGGAGCAGTGACATAACAGGCGTCCCGCGGGCGGCACAGCCCCCCCCCTTCTGGAGTGGACGCTGACCAGGCCTGGGGCGAGAGGGCGGCCCTCTAGGAAGGCAGGGATCTTCTTCGAAGTGACCGGCCCCCTTCTTGAACACCTGCGGCGCCAGGAGCTTCTGCTCAGCGTGCTGCGG